GACACACACCTAGCTTAACTCTACATATGTTTTCAGAAACAAAGCCTACAGTATCGCCAATTTCTAAAGCATTGATAATTTCTTTATGCTTTACAATTAAGAGCTCTGCTAGACCTATACAGCCAAGAGGAGCATGGAATTCTTCAGTGTTATTTTAATAACCAGGAAATCTGACAACATGATCTTTTGTTACTAGCTCTGGATTGTGGGATGGAGGGGGTAGAAAAAGGAGAAAGGAGGAAGCAACAAATGTTGCAGCTTCTTTTTTTTTTCTTTAAAGTTAAAAATATTGCAGGATACATACAGGGCAATAAATAATACTTAAAAAGGTTGACAGAGGAGTGAAACAATATTATAATAATTTATTCACGGAGAGAGCGTGACATTTCCCTCACCCCCCAAAACAAAATAAGCGTTCATTCCTCTCATCTGCAATAAGCAGTTAAAAAAAAAAAATTAATCATTTCTTTCATTCTAGTCAACTCTCGCACCCTGCGTTTTCCGGCTGTGTTGTGTGTGGATGTGTGGATGTGTGGATGTGCAGTGATCCAGGCTGAGAAAGAGCGAACTCGGTGACCTGGGATCCCCTTCCGGGCGCATGTCTCGCCCGCCTGCCTAGCGCTCTGCTCCGTGGTGGTGTTCAGCAAACTGCCACTGCCCTAGGCGGGGGCTGCCACTCTAAGGTATAACTGAGTTCTTTAACGACTACTGGGATCTCTAATGCGTTTTAGATGCGCTAGGATGAGAGCTGCTCCATCCAAGGAAGTTTTTAGTAGTATTAGAGCTCGCGGGCCTAGGATAAAGCACATATATTTCACGCAGAAAATTGGAAGCCGGCGTCAGCTCACAGCCTTGCCAGGAGCTCGGGGATACAAGGAAGGGGCCCGATCCGGCCCCCAGGCCCCGGCCGCAGACCCTGGGGTGGTGGTGGGGTGGGGTGGGGTGAGGGGCCTGGGGTCACACTGGACGCCCCGCGCCCATCGATCACACTGCCCGCAGGCACCCTCACTCCGACTTCAGAGCCAGGTCTTCCAAACACTCCCCCACCCCACCCCCGCCTACTTTCCAGTTTCTTCATCGGCGCCTCAGTTTCCCCAAAACGGTTCCTCCGGTCTCCCCCACCCTGACACTTTTTTTTTTTTTTTTTTTTTTTAATAACCATGAAATCTAGCATGAAGCTCTGTCCTCCTCAATCCCTCAAGTCAGCCGGCTGCTCCCTCGCTCTGGGTCCGGGACCCACCAGCCCAGCACGGATCTCTTTGCCCCTAGGCCACTTTTCACTCGGGCTGGGGGTCCCGCTTGAGACTCCCGAGTTCTCTTCTCACCCATTTTTCCCTCGGCCCGGACCGGCCTCTCTTGACAGCCCTGTGTCCCTCAGGCCGGCCCCCTCCTCGGACCCTCGCCACCGTCTTTTCCTCAGCCCAGCTCTCTCCATCCCCTCGCTGCGCCCCGCAACCCCGCGCGTCCGCCGCTCACCTGCGGACTCCCCGGTGTTGATCCAGTCCGGGTTGGCGATGCTGGCGATGGCGAAGATATCGGCAGCCAGAAAGAGACATCCTGAGATGATGGT